CAAGGCATCGTCGGTATGTTTGTAAAGAACGAATCTGCGCGCACCGAACCACTCGCTTTGCGTCTCTATCTAAGAAAGAGAAAATAAAATAAGAATATAAAATAATTAGCGTTTCTCGAGTTAGTGCGACGTGTACTCCAGTCTTTCCGCCATTTCGAAAGATAAGCAATTTACACTCGCAATTTGTCGCTGTTTCCAATGAAACTTGGAACGCAGAAAATCATGCGTCGCGTTATGTGAAATGTGATCCGTTTTACACGCATTTCTATATCGAGTGCAACGAAGTGATAACCGATATCGTTGTATAGGAACTTTAACTAGAGTCGAGAAGGGTAGTTTAAATGAAGGTAACAGTCAGCAGCACAAAGTTTTTCAAATCGGCTTTGAGTCGTTTTCGTCGTTTTTGCTGTTCGCCTTCTCCCGACGTGGCTCTCTCTCTATCGTCTCGAATAAGAAACAGGAAAAAAAAAGAAAAGAAAAGAAAAGAAAAGAAATAAAATATGGGAACCTCAGAGAATCGGGAGTCGGAAGCGTCCGGCGCGGTTTTGGCGAACGTTAGCGTCGCGCGTCGGCAGCAATAACCAGATGCGATCTTGTGTGTTTCGCCGATCACCTCGGCACCACTCGACAGGCCTGTCGAAGGGCGTCGGCTTCATAAGGTTCGACCAGCGCGTCGAGGCCGAGCGGGCGATCCAGGAGCTGAACGGCACCATACCGAAGGGCTCGTCCGAGCCGATCACCGTCAAGTTCGCCAACAATCCCAGCAACAACAACAAGGCGATACCGCCGTTGGCCGCCTATCTCGCACCACAGGCCACGCGGCGCTTCGGCGGGCCGATCCACCATCCGACCGGCCGCTTCAGGTACATTCCACTGTCGCCACTATCCAGGTACCTACTCGCCTCTACTCGCTCTACCCAAGGATTTTCACTATCTCTCTCTAACTTTTCGCCTCTGCTCTCTCTCTCTCTCTCTCTCTCTCTCTCTCTCTCTCTCTCTCTCTCTCTCTCTCTCTCTCTCTCTCTCTCTCTCTCTCTCTCTCTCTCTCTCTCTCTCTCTCTCTCTCTCTCTCTC